TTATTAAATTATATACCAAGACAACAAGATAGGTCTCAAGAACTTTATTATATTTTTATTACNCCGAAAATTTAATGAGAACTTTTTAATAATAGCAGTTTTCTTCCCTTGGACAATATCATACTCTAGGAGGAAAGAGAATAAAATCTAACGCGATTTTGAAATTGAGAGTAGACATAAAAAATCCTGTGTAATCCTTTCGAGGTAAAACCTGTTCCTCAACACATGGGAAAATATTATTTACAATACAAGAACAAGAAATTTCCAGCATCAGAAAATCAAAGGTCAAAAATACTTACGATCGGTGATCACTTTGCTATCGAAATGGGGAGAAAATTCCCTACTGTGTAAAACTACGTTAAGACATACATACTTTTTAAACACATCTGTACTTCTCTAATGTTTTAAATTTAGGGCAATGTACAAAGCTACGATGAAACAAAAAGATAACATACTTTGAGCAACAACAGTCCAAGAGGTTATGCAGAACAGAACCACAGGGTACAATAATCTTCCAGCATGCATCTTCTCAGTTACAAGTGAAAATAAAGCAATAATTTGCCACGTCTATTTATACTCAATTCTAGGCATTTTTAACATAGTTTTTTTCCTATTTGCTTGTTTGATTAGTCCTTAACATCTTGCCTAAGCTATATTTGATCACAGGTTATGTAGTGCAGCACTGACTCATTGTGGCCGTTTATGGTTTTCATTCGCGTCAGTCAAATTTTCCGTCAGATGTCTGTGGTTCCTGTTATCATATGGTTTTTTGTGTGATAGTGTCTTTCAACGCCTAATTCTGCAAGAACCCTGATTGAACATTTGAATTGCGTTCGGAAATCATGGCTACTATGATTATTCGTAACCATACAGTTAACTGGCATTCGCTATGATGTGGGGGTACCTTAATTTCAGCGATGTCATAAAGACTGAACAATACTTTACCGAGACTATGTTTCAGTTATAAGGGGTGATGAACGACTAACACCACAAAGACAGAAATACCGTCCCTTTGTTTACAAAGACAAGCTGTTACTAGGAAGAATAACTGAAATTGAATGTGAATGTTGTATCTTGTATTGTCGTCACAGCTCTTAACCTCGTGGTTTATTTTAGTATATGCAATCAATTTAAAAATTAAATAAAAGTGGAAACGCAATTATGCAATTTCTAACTGTCGAGCGATCTGCACAGCTTGTAGCTCACGGGGTTTCAAAAAGTTGGGATTTGAACATTGGTTTGGGAGGTGAAAAGTAGAATAAATGTTTTATTTTATATAGCCCGAGAGGAAAGGGCAATCACAAGCGCCTAACTGTGCCACTGGACTGTCTCTTATTAATCTGCACACAACAATCATCGTAATTCAGTGAGTTAGACTCTGCAGGGTTCAAACCGGTTTTCTCCTAAATTGGCTAAGCTTTTATATGTAGAAAAATAACTAGACGTGGTAGGGGGAGTGTGTGTGTACAATTTTTTGTGAACGGCTAAAGATTCGTAAACTGTTTATGAAGAATGATAGCTTGATAGACTGGAATAGGGAAATATGACTTATTCAGTACCTATTTACAGCTGGGTAGACTGGAACGGGGGAAAGATGACTTATTCAGTACCTATTTACAGCTGGATAGACTGGGTTTACTGGAATACGGAAAAGTGACTTATTCAGTGCGTATGTACAGTTGGATAGGTTGGAATGGGGGAAGGTGACTTATTCAGCACCAATTTACAGCTGATTAGGCTGGAATGGGGGAGAGATGACTTATTCAGTGCCTAATTACAGCTGGGTAGGCTTCAATGGGGAAAGATGACTTATTCAGTACCTATTTACAGCTGGATAGACTGGAATGGGGGAGAGATGACTTATTCAGTGCCTAATTACAGCTGGGTAGGCTTCAATGGGGAAAGATGACTTATTCAGTACCTATTTACGACTGGATAGACTGGAATGGGGAGAGATGACTTATTCAGTGCCTAATTACAGCTGGGTAGGCTTCAATGGGGAAAGATGACTTATTCAGTACCTATATACAGTTGGGTCAACTGGAATACGGAAAAGTGACTTGTTCAGTACCTATGTACAGCTGGATAGGTTGGAATTGGGGAAAGATGACTTATTCAGTACTATCTACAGTTGGGTAGACTGGAAGGCAGAAAGATGACTTATTCAGAACCTATTTACAGTTGGGTAGGGAAGAAAGATGACTTATTCAGTACCTATCTGCAATTGGGTCAACTGGAATACGGAAAAGTGACTTGTTCTGTACTAATTTCCTGCTGGACAGGTTGAAATACGGAAAAATGACTTTTTCAGTACTATCTACAGTTGGGTAGACTGGAAGGCAGAAAGATGACTAATTCAAGTTTTGACAAAACAAAGCAACAATAACAAGGCTTGCTATATACATTTTATTTTCAATTCATTTCACATGCAAATAATTGAGCTTTTATAGAGCTTAATGACGAAATTTCTCATTGTACATTGCATTGGATTGGACAAACTGCGTCAATCCGTAAGTCAAAGTCCATAAGGCAACTTAATGAATGAGACAGAGATGAAATGAGTTCAACAGCTATTCTGGATCGAGCCCGACAAATCTGGAACTTCTCATTCCTCGGATGAGATATCGACGTGTAGGGGCAGTCATAAATGTAATTTTTTATTCTCTATTGCTCTATTTTTGAATCGCTAGTTTTTGAGAATTTCACCATAACAAAAAACAAATTTGGCATAATACATTAATGGATATTCTCCGAAGTCCCTGTGCCCCACAATACAGGCGAGGGGCAGGCTATTCCCCTTTTAATACAAAACCGCCATGCGATATTTACGTAAACGTGCCGATATCACATTCGTATATATGACGTCTGAGTAACGGGTACGGCAAGATTTGTTGGGTTATTCTCGACCATTGAAAGATGAAAATGAACAGCGCCTGATGTCTGTAGCAAGAGTAAGAACTTTCTGCTCCAATGCATGGAATTCTGCTGCCATATTTAGACATGGTATCGAGATTTGATGAAATGGCAGAAAAATAAACAAAGCTAACCTCAAAATAAATATACTGCTCGTGTTAGTTTTAAATAGGACCTAGTTATTCAGAAATATCTTTGTAGGTTTTTAATCAGTATTTACTTTAATAGTAGAATATAATGTCGAACTATATTCAAATGAGATTCAACTCCATTTAAAGATTTTGAGTATCTTGTACAACCACACAAGAATACTAAACCGGAATCAGTTGAATCCAAATACCTTGAGATTGAAATTAAACCCTGGCTTGAAATTATCCAATCATATAACAAGAATACTTAACTGGTATCAGTTGGGTCAGAATATCTCAATCATGATTGGCTGAAATAAAAGCAAGGCTTAAATTATCCAATCATGTATGTAGTTTTTCAGTCTATCGCTAAAAAAGAAGATTCACCTGACATGCTCCAGGATTGCTAATTGCCTATTAAAGCTTTCAAAATTTTCATTTTAGTCTAATTCGTTGAAACCAACTTAAAGGGAATGGAAAGAGGCTTTTTAATTTGATTTATGTGTATCAGGGACACTGATAGCATAGATTTGCACCTCTTCAAATTTCAATAAAACGTTAGTGGTTCCTGCAATTCCACTTAAACTACGTGTTCAATGAGGTCATTAGTCGTAAAGGTACTTATGTGATACAAGCACATTTGTGATTAGTGACATCTGATTGAAAATTGGAATAGTGCAAATTGATGCTATCAGTGTCCCCTGATACACATGAAATGTTTAGAAAACCTCATTACAATATCGTTAAAAGACAAAAAAACATTAACGAAACAACAATCCATACAACCATTTGAATATGACAGTTACATTATTTTTGTACACTATTTACATTCATTAACTGTACAACTATACATACAACGAAGATTTAGGGCCGTATGCAGCGCTCTTACCTTATCTAAAGTCGAACAAAAATAGGATTAAGGCTTTCATTTTCTACATTTGATAGTCAAAGCACGACTTTCGTAAAGATCGACCGGTGCATACCTAAAGTTCGACTTAAGTCTAACTTTAGCCAAAATTTAGGTAAAGTACGAGCGCTGCATACCTTAGTTCAGCGTAATTTGTGCAATGTTTAGAAACATTTCAGAAGTGGATTAATTTGTTCTAATAAAAATAAAAACCTGTTTCTTGATAAAATAATTAAAACCATGGGATAGCGAAAACCAAAAGGGGCTGCCATATTGTTCTATTATTAAGATATCCCACAATTCCTTAATTTAGTAAAAAACAGGTTTTACATGACACGCTTTTGATTGGCTGAGACAAACACGTTTGGTAGAAAAATTGTTAGATTACAATGTAGACTAAAAATATCAGAAAACAAAGAAAAAACGAAATTGTTATCTAATTTTAATAAGATATATATCTTTGTAGACTATTGTGTAAAATTTAAAAAACAGGAAATCGATATTCTGATTAAAAAGAATCAATACAAAAAAGCGGAAAGTCCTCTGACTAAAATCTAGAGAGTAGCTACAGGTTTTTTAACATGGTGAAACTGCTGGACATTCATCCTTTATGTACAGCTAAGACAAAGACAAAAGCGTTTAGTCGTTCGAATGGGACAATAAACCGAGGCCCCGTGTGCACGTTAAAGATCCCTCGACAGTTGGAAATTGAAAAAGAGCAGGCTTATGCCGCTGTCCTGGCAAAATTTCACTCACTGCACCCTGCATGACGTTGCCCATCTTCATTAGCCCACATGGTGCAGAAAAGTAGGACATAAAACTCCATTTCATTTCATTTTCATTTTCATTTTCATTTCATTTCTTTTCTAAAGGCTACTTAACTTGATTGCACCAAAATGAACCAAAATACCAAAACTGTTTCAATATACATGTAATCTGATAAAAGATTTGATTTTGCATATTTTCTGTGCATTGGGGTGATTTAAAATAAGTAAAGTCAGTGGAAAAAAATGAACCAAAATACCAAAGCTATAGTTGAATCAAAAACTGTTAAAATGTTTTTCAAAATATATATCATATTTACAAAACTAAACTTAAAACACATGATGTCAAAGTAGAACATAAAACTCCATTCATTTCATTTGGTCTGATTCAAAACATAAATGGCCTACTTTATTTTTAGGTAGTGCGAGTAGCAATGAACAGAATAAATCCAGCTTATTACGTGTCAATCTCTATCTATTCTACCTAAAAATAAAGTGGACTGGTCGAGTTTATGTTTTGAATGGAATCTGTAAGAGCAAACATAATTATCTTGATAATAATCACCAAGTATACTCTTTCAAAATAAAAATATAATGAACACATTTTTAATTCTTGCATTTAGATTTCAATTATCACAATTATAAGCATGAGGTACTTCAACAGGTATTTATATGGGTGAGGTTATACATAATTTACATTTTTAAGTTAATTTATACATTATTCTGGTTTTTATATTACTGAGGTTATACATAATTCAGGTTTTTATATTAGTTAATTTATACATAATTCAGGTTTTTATATTAGTTAATTTATACATTATTCTGGTTTTTAATTAGTTAATTTATACATTATTCTGGTTTTTATATTACTGAGGTTATACATAATTCAGGTTTTTATATTAGTTAATTTATACATTATTCTGGTTTTTAATTAGTTAATTTATACATTATTCTGGTTTTTAATTAGTTAATTTATACATTATTCTGGTTTTTATATTACTGAGGTTATACATAATTCAGGTTTTTATATTAGTTAATTTATACATTATTCTGGTTTTTAATTAGCTAATTTATAAATTATTCTGGTTTTTATATTATTGAGGTTATACATAATTTTGGTTTTATATTAATGAGGTTATAAATGATTCATGTTTTAAATTGGTGAGGTTATACATAATTGGTGAGGTTATACATAATTGGTGTGGTTATACATAATTCTGGTTTTTATATTAATGAGGTTAGACATAATTCTGGTTTTTATATTAATGAGGTTATACATAATTCTGGTTTTTATTATTATATTCATATATAGAACTTCAGAATCTCAAGCTATTGCATACTGCATCTAATACCTTGACTGTAATAGCCACTTTCTATTATCATCAAAGTAAAACAGGGATATGATTGAATTGTACACTACTGAATACAGCCAATCAGGAAGTCTGTGAACATTGAAAGCTGTGTATTCTATCATACAATCCAATCAAATTGCTGCATTCCATGATACAAGTTATTGTAGTTAGGGCTGGGTAAAAAGATTTAAATAATGATTATCCTTGCTAGGAATTTAGAATTTTGATTATCGAATATCAAATTTCATTATCGATTATCAAAGTTTCATTTTTTCCACTGTACCCATTAAGACGTAGAAACTCTTCCATGCGTTTCCTGTCAGCACATAACTTACCCACAATAAGCTAAAACAACCTATCAAAGCAAGAATATACTTCTATGACTCAAAAGTAACCAATGAAATTAAGAATTTTGCCATGTTTTTAATTTAGTATTTATAGGCTTTCTCAATTGAATTATTTCAATTACTCATAGATTAAAGATCAGTAGTCTGCCATTGAAAAATCAATCTCAATTTGGTTATTGATAACCAGACCTAATTGCAGTCAAACTTTAAGAGGCAGTTTGTAATTGCTTGAGATTGTCAAGATGGGTAATACATAGTTAAAATCTTACAATATAAGTTATCATGTTTCACTTCAGCAACCAGGTTTATCTCTGTATGATCCAATACAGTAATGCAGAAAGTTCATCTAAGGTTCATACAAGAACCAAGACCATATAAAATTTTGTTTTCACATGAAGAAATCAGGAAATAAGTCATGGATCTTGATATTGCGTATTACTGGGGGTGACTTAGAGTTGAGCTAGAGTTGATGGAGAAATCAGAAAAGTGAGGGTTGCAGTCGAATTTGATCGAATTACGGCAATATGACAGGATTTTTGACCATATATAGACATTTCATGCTACCATGTTAACTCGTGTTTGACTTTCCAAATAGTGAGTGTCCGACCCGAGCTTCAATTATTACATCACATGAATCTCAACTCTAGGAAATATTACAGTTCCGTTGTGACTCGAGTGTTACCCAGGCTCCAATTGAAGTCACCTACTGCTGCAAAATCTCTCACCATTATAAGAGGAGTTAAGTCTTTCCATTTGTTGAACTCAAGTCATACACACGTTCTATTCATGTATCATAGCACATCACGGCCAACTCCATCCCTCCTTTCTTGTCTTTTTTTGTATTTATTTCTTTTTATAAAAAAACACTAAAACACTAACTATCAACACTTAGTTGTTGGTTTTTCAGTAACTAAACTACTAAATTCACTACCATTGTTGGAAATTGTTAAAGGTATTCGAGAATTAAACGCTTCCGTTGGGTTTCTTGCTTTAGCTAGATCTTTTCTAGCTATTTGATCCTCTCTCAATGCTGGTCCCCACAATAATGTTGGTCTACTCACTGTTTTTATGGCCTGAAAATACAAAGCAACGATGCTGTAAGAAATGCTGGTATTCTAAAATAACTTAATTTAAACTATTTCATTGAAATACACTTTAATCTTTAATTTTCAGCAACTTTTGCAATAGTGCTTAGTTTTAGTGGGATTGCAATAATCACAGATGTCTGACTGAGTTAGTGGTGCAAATCAGTGCTATCAGTAACTCTGAAACATAAAGTCAGATAACCTCTTTGCAATTCCTTTCAGAATTTAAACTACCAGTAATCCTCATCTTTTCATGCTCGATTTTATCAATTTATTTTTTGTTGTTCTCTCTCTTATAAAGCTTTTATGCATATCATTCTACCAGATACCCAAGTAACGTCATAATCTAGATTGAAGTGTGAGATACCACGACAGTTGAAAATCGAAAAACAGCAGGCCCGTCGTCATTAGCCCACATGGTGCAGAAAAGTAGGACGTAAAACTCCTTTCATTACATTTCATTTGTAAGTAATTGTGGTCTTAACACATCAAGTCTTTATTTAGAGTTATCTCCGTAGAGAGAAAGGTGATGAATCTGAATAAAGATGGTGGCAGAATTTCATTGAGTCTGTTTTATCTTTGAATCCAAACCATCCTTGAAATCTTAGCTCTCAATATAAGTTATCTTCATGCCCCTTCCATTGTCTTATCAATAACTACCCTTACCTGAACCAAGCCCATCTCTGAGGATCTATATTGTTTGAATACAGTCCAGATTGCAAAACCAGGAATACACAGTATGGAGGACAGAGTGATTAACCAACCAATTCCATCAGCCCAACCTGGGAACGTTATATCACCATAACTTGTGGGGGTAAAATCTACCCACGTGAATATTAATATCACCTGAAATAAAATGAAATGGAATTCTATATAAGACTCTAATGCTCCTTAATGGGATTATGAAGATTAGCAAATTTATTCAATTTGCTAGAATAGTGGCATTAGTCCAATCTTCTTGATTATTAAATGATAATGAATCTTTAACCTATGTAGGCAGATTGCCATACTCTTAATATAGCCAATTGAATATGAGTAACTTTATGTCAAAGGTTCATCAGCTTACACAAATTACAGCAATATGAAGAAGGGGAACACCATGCAGTGTACAATTGGGAGAATTTTGCGACAACAGCAGCATTAGCCTCGTCTTTTCTATGACCTTCAGATTGTAAAGAACCAGACAATTTCCCATGTCAGCCTCTCTAACCTCTGATCATTGACAGAAGGGGGATCTGGTTGTAAAATCCAAAGGCTTAAGGATCCAACCCCTCACTTCTACGTTAGCTAACAAGTCTCCCCAACCCCTCAGAAAGAGTGAATACATACCAGTAATGCTGCAGGGGCAATAAATCTCCAACTAATTGACCATATAAGAGGTGGTCGTTTTCCTAACATTGTTTCAATATCAGTTAAAAATCTATCTGCTCCTGAAATTTTATAAATTCTCTTTTAATCTTAATCTAAGAGATTGTCTAGAGGTTTTTAAGTTTTTGAGGTATACTGTGGTTCCCGCAATTCCGCTAAAACTCAGAGTATGTTTATGCATATAGGGGACACTGATAACGTCAATTTGCACCATTCCAATTTTTAGTAAGGTGTCTACATTTCCTGTAGTTTTAAACTAACCAATCTTTGAGAGTCATTTTTTTTTTTTTTCCACAAACGTGAATAATAAATCAGGGGGAGTGGTTTAAACAATAATGACCTACAAGTAATGAAGTCTAACTTACCATAAACCCAAGATAACGCCATACACTCAGTAAAACAGACTATTAACAAAGAATAGGTAGCAGCAAAATTATCAAACAATTGTAGAATGTACATTCCTCCCTACAATACATATAACACCTTACATTATTACCTCCAGAAAATATACTAACGATCCAAATCTCAAAACATACATTCCGAAAATAAGTTTGGCCATATATTGGTAGGTGGTATATCAATAATAATGAGGAAGTATTTCATAATGAATAGTGGTATCCATTTAAATTTTTTTATTTACTTAATTCAAACATAAACTGAGAAGTTAAAGTTTGCAGCTTGTAGAAGTCCAGACCAAGTTCCTCAATAAAACTTAAGATTTGTATTCGTCAAAGGAATTTAAAAATAAGAATTCACATACTCATGACAACATTGATTGTAAGATTTCTTGAGGAACGAGCCCTTTAATTCCAAAACTTACCCGAGTACAGAAAGACAATCCAATCAAATAACAAGAAATAGCGATACCAAATAACAGAAACAGAGATCGTTTACCACCCTTAAATAAACTAGGAAACTGGTCTAACAGTGTAGTATGGACAGTTGTTACCGTGGCAATCTGTAATATACAATAACCAAAATTATGTGGTAAGAAAGGGAGTTTACATCCTAATTTTGCGCATTTTACTTGACTGAAGCCACTCAGCTTTCAGTCTTGGTGATTTGATAATTTATGCCAGACTAGTGCATCATGGGAATCGAATCAATGCCAAGATGACAATAGCTCAAACATGTCACCTCCGAATGAAGCTCGAGTTGAAATGGCAATGCAGTTTCAATTGCTCTCCCAAGGGAGATAACTAATAATGCAGACCACAGAATTGAATTATATTTCTTACACAAAAATATCAAAAAGCCTCCTAGACTGTACCTGTGTTCCCAGCCCAAGTGTCACTAACATGGAGAAGAATAATACAGCCCAGAGTTGAGATATGGGTAGTTTGGTTACTACTTCTGGATAAACAACAAACGCCAGACCAGCACCTATAAATATAGAGAAAGGTAATATACCATTCTTTGTATTATTCCATTGGACTGAAAATTAGACATGTCATTGTCACCTTGGTGAAAGTACTGTTGATATGGGTCTTGAATGTATGTAAATAGTATTCAGAACTTCTAGAAATGTACAAAAACAATTAATTCCTTCAAAAATACCTCACTTTCTATTTCTGTATATGTATTTTCTTTATATGGCAGAGTCTCAAGAAAAGCTGATAATTCTGGACACACATGGTGGATTTGACGCTCAAATTTCAATGGTAAACTATGAACACTATTACTGATAAGCTTAGCTAAAAAGGTCTAAGGTACGATTGGTCAAACGGATAGCGAACATGTCTCTTTAAAGTTATTCTTAAAACAGACCTACCCTCACTGGCTACTTTATCAATACCCAAATTGAGTTCATGAGCCATATAACCAATAATAGAAAATATAACACAGCCAGCAAATACACTGGTTAAACAGTCCAATATAGAAACAATTATAGCATCTCTGAAATAAATACATTGATATTTTGTCAAAACTAGGTGAGTTTGAGGAAAGCAATATCAGACAAATTATTGCTTGAATTCTGGTATCTCTAATAGTTAAATTAATCACAGATTACAATGGATTTGGCAGTGAAAGATTAAGATGTCCCCACCAGGCCAATGTTTTGCAAAAAATCTAACAAACGGAAGTTCAGAAATACTAAACTTTTGACAAAAAATGATTTTTTTGTGAGAATGAGGAGCAATTAATCTACAACTGATTGACTATATTGGGTCATACGATTTATAATGACTGAACAATATAATGAAATTCTTACTTGTAACAGTTGTTGGTGAATTTATTAAAACTGATTGACTATATTGGGTCATATGATTTATAATGACTGAACAATATAATGAAATTCTTACTTGTAACAGTTGTTGGTGAATTTATTAAAACTAGCTAGAGTTATTAATCCTCCCCATCCTGGAGACAGAGAGAAAAAAATCTGGACAGCAGCATCCCCCCATACCTATAATATAACCATACACAATCCTCATCAACAAATATACAGGGTTCTGTAGTTCAGTCAATTAAAGCGTTGGATACTGCATGATGTCATCTGCTGGGTTATGTTAAACAAATGGCTCTAATATCAGTCAGCTTGTGAAAGTCGGTGCGTCATCTTACCTCATTATTCCACAAGACCAAAAGTAAATGGCCAATGGTTACAGATTCAGACAGAGTGAAACGTTTATGTTTATATTGAGAGCACTTATAGCTTTCATTTGCATCAATCTGATTTTTGTCCAGTTTCTGTGGTTTAAGTAAATCAACAGGAATGGCCCTCAAACTAATTAGATTATTCTTGATAACTTACCTTAGCACTAAGTAGCTTGTCCCATTTTGGTTTAAAGAAGTATATAATACCATCAGTAGAGCCCTCTAGTGTCAGACCACGGACCAATAAAATAGTTAATACTACATACGGAAAGAATGCTGTAAAATATACTGCCTGAAATATACCATTAAATCACAGTTCAAGGCAATAGGTCACCATTTTCGAGGTTATATATGTAAATAGTCACCAGAAATACTAGAACTCATGATATATACCATATATGTCAGAGTCTCTTGAAAAGATGAATCGTTACTTTGATATTCAAACATGGGTAATTCTGGACACACATGGATTTGAAAGCTCAAATTTCGATGGTGAGCTGTAAACACTATTAGAAACACCTTACCTTTCCTGAACTTTTGATTCCTCTTGCTAAACAGATACAAACTAAAACCCATGCTAATAATAAACAGAGAGCTAACTCCCATTTCACTCCTCCAACATGCTCTATTCCATCAGTTATATCTAATACGAACTCACTGAAAATACATCAAATTGATGTGGTCTTAAATAGTTAGTCCACTAATAGGACTATACTGAAAATGGAGTTTTTCTTTGATAGTGATATAATTCCTGTGGTCTATAATGACAAAATTTTTTACAAAAATTAAACCCAATTACTGCATTTCTCACACCAAAAAACTTATCAAATAACTGTGGTCTTAAAATGATAGTCTTTCAAGAGTTACCTCCCATAATACACTGACATAGCCTAGCCTTACATTTTTAAGTCATTAAAAAGTTTCACTTTACAACTGAAAATACTTCTTCTATTAAGTAATATAAATTGTAACGTTTCCAAAAACACATTTTTTAGTCAATGGATCTGTCAGAAAGTAGGGGGTTGTGTAGGGTGTTGTTGAGGGGCATGTGGAAGGGGGATTGGGGGATGGGGTAGTTATATACTTACTGGAAATATTCATCACTTGGAGACCTAGAGTTAGATAGGGTGTGGTTACTGATATTTTTCATGTAGTCAAAAGTATCCTGTCCCACCATGTCTACTGTATAACAAGTATCGTTATAAAATGTACCGTTATAATTCGTACAGTTGTTTATCTGGTCTTTGTTTTCAAGACAGACTGGAAGACAAATTAAAAATAATTTCAGATACATCAAAATGGCAACCAATCAAATTTACAGTTTAACATCATGTGATGTGAGATAGAAAATCATCAGGAAATGTACATTTATATAATGCTATGTTCTAAACACGCAATGTGAACTTTCTGATAGAGATTCCAAGTTGACAATCACAGTGACAGAGTGGCATCAAGTGTTCTGAAAGTGTAAGCATGCCCTGCCTCTCTAAAGACGTCTGCCACAGTAATAATAATAGTGGAGGTCAAAGTCGTAGGAAATTAAACCTGAGCCTGCTAAACCTGTTAAAATGATCCACTATATCTTGCCCTTTTTTCAAGGAGCACCAGCTTGCAGGGTTATGGTGTACAATCTCTTATAAGCAATAACAAATAATAAGGCTTACCAGAAGTGCTCCAAACACCACAGAAACTCCAGGGTAAAACTTCAGCAAATGATGCAAAGAGATAATAGAGGGTCCAAGCTATGATCATATTATAATATATAGCTATTAATACAGATACAATAAACATGGCCCATCCTACACCTGAAATGGTACCAAATATGACACGATGATTAAATTATCATATTCATATATCTTAATATCTGCTATACCAACGAAAAGTGCTGATGCTAGTTTGTGTTGTGTATGTTGAACAGCTATGACGGGTGTGGCGCTAGGCAGGGTTTTCTTACTCTTCTAGACTCCTGGTACCACTATTCATTATGAAATACTTACTCACTTAATATTCATATACTTCCTCATGAGAAAAGTTCATTAGTCCCTACCAATATTTCTTCAACATGTTGTTACAGATTTCGGGTTACTTTTTGAAGTTTGGATCGTTAGTACTTGGTTTATTTATTCAGTGTCATGATAAATACCGGTAAGGGAATTTATAAATATTGTCAATAATACCGTCTGATTAAAATTACTGAAAATATCACCATTTTGTGATATATCGTAGCTATCATAATATATTATCAAATTTAGGTCAAGATAAATTCATTTGCACAATTCTAACAAAAATTTTCAACAGATGCTTTTTCACGATATCAAGGACTGACCCCTAAAAAGACTGTATTTTGTTTTTAAAGTATATTTTCATTTAAGAGCAGGAATGGGGACCCCAGTAGATGGGAACAAAGTAACACTTAATAGAATCAAAATCTGGCATATGATTTGTCTACCATAGTGATAACAGTTAACAGTTTCAGAGCATTATATGTAATGTTGAAATCTATTTGAAAATTAAAAGTAAGACAAAAAATAAATACTCGATCGAAAAAACCCATCTGTTTAGATGCTTAGTTTACTATCAAAAATTGGTAAATGATGCATATGAAAATTTTATTGTGCTTGAAACATTAGTTAGTATTTCTATCTATTTTTTTTCATGGGAAATTTACATTATATAATTACTCATATAGACTTAAATTCAATAGCATTAATCTTTCATTGAGCATTCATGACACATTGTCATCAGCTGTTAAATAAATTAACATTACATATAGTCATTTTTTTCTAAGCAAAAGCAAATTAAAAAATTCGACCAAACTTTCATTCCATTATTTTATTAGCTTTATTTTTCAATATAGCTACTTCAGTTAGGGTCTATCAACAGCCCTCTTTTACGTTTGTCAACTTAACCTTTTGACCTAACTTGATGACGTCTGTTTTAACCAATCCAAGTTTTACCCTCTCCAGTGCTAGCATTTTGTGATGGGGTGTTTATCAGGTTAGGTCAAAAGGTTAACTTGACAAACCTTTCAGAGGGCATTAGTTGGCCTTGTAAAATCATTACCAAAGTTTTGGCCACAAATTCTCAAGAACCTATGTTGTTATCCTTGTACAAAATGGCTGTTTCTTTCTGAACTAGTCTGGGAGAAAATCTCTTAAATACCCAAACTACTGGACTTACCCTGAAAGATAGGACTGACTGACCAGATAGAAACCACACCTTGGCTGGCAAACTGACCAAACGACAGCTCTAGAAATACCAGTGGTATACCTGTTATAAACAACATTACTAAGAAAGGGATCAGGAAGGCCCCTGGAATATAAAACAATGCTGTAAACAATGTCAGATCAATTAAGAGAACAAGGGGTTGAGGGCTACAGCAAATCCTTGGTATTCTTAAAAAAAAGATTGGATTATTACTGGCCAGAGTGGTGTTATCAAGATCACATGGATGCACAGGGGAAAATGCTGCTACTAATCAGAAAAATGGCCTTGAACTTGATTGGGAGTTATTTTGTTATTAGGAGGAGAGGAGTTTTTTACTTTATTGGTTAAGGGAGGTATTTTGTTATTAGGGGGAGAGGAGTTTTTTACTTTATTGGTTAAGGGAGGTATTTTGTTATTAGGGGAAAGGGAGTTTTTTACTTTATTGGTTAAGGGAGGTATTTTGTTATTAGGGGAAAGGGAGTTTATTACTTTATTGGTTAAGGGAGGTATTTTGTTATTAGGGGGAGAGGAGTTTTTTACTTTATTGGTTAAGGGAGGTATTTTGTTATTAGCGGGAGAGGAGTTTTTTACTTTATTGGTTAAGGGAGGTATTTTGTTATTAGGGGAAAGGGAGTTTATTCCTTATTGGTTACAAGGGAATCTTTCCTGAGAATTAATTAATCATTATAATCTAATAACATATATATATATATATATATATATATATATATAACTTGATGTCAGTAGAAAGATAGGCTAGTTCAACTTTTTATTTAGTGTATGATAAAAACCAATCTTTAATAATCCAATATAAAAAACAGATTTAGATATCGTGTCTATTTTATTAGAAAGAGTTTGTTAGCCACTATCTCAAGATGTTTTTTAATACTTGAAGTACAATATCAAAATTTTAATCTTGTATTTGATGGAGAAACTTATGTGCATTTATATAATATTTGTACGTCGTTATATTTTTATTTTGCTTTGTGATTTGGACAGAAGAATGTTTTTAAGGATATGAATACTGGTATCATATATAAGAAATGTTAAAAATTCCCAATCAATAATAGATTTTTAATTTGTAATAAGCTATAGTTGAATGATTGTGAATTGAAAGCCATATTTGGAATTGGATAGAATAACGATAACAATTGTCAAATAGAATAGAATTTAATTATCTTAATATTAAAGGCGTTGTTTATTTTATATAAAAAAGAGAGCAAATCCTAGTCCAGATATCTCTTCCCTTATTTAATCATATTGACAATGTCAAGCTAATAATGAACCTTGTCTTATACCTTGTCTATAATAGCCATCTTTCATTTATCACGGAGGTTTGTAAATACAGCCAATCAGGGTCTTCGACTCAAACTCTGTAAACAGTTAAGCCATAATGTTTATTGTCTGCCGAGAACTCTAGTGGCTGCATTTACAAACGTGCAATTTAACCAAATTGCTGCATATACAAACTTATGTGACAAATGAGAGGTGACTCTTGCAATCTTTTAAACTCTCCGTCAAGAATATGACAAACGTGTTTCAAAATAGAAGTCAAGCCTATTAATTGGTCAATGTACCGGTAACAGTATTTTAAGCCTAACAATAAGTGGAGCATGTTTGATCACAGTATTGAAATATTATTAAGACATTCAGACAATTGCCACATAAAGTAATTCATAAATTTGAAAAGAAAAATAAAGTTGTTTAAGTTGAAGTCAATGCTCGTCTCAACATGTCTGTTATAACCCAATTATCTAAAGGGACAAATTCGTACGTTATTAATATTCTCAGAAACGAGAGTTTGTTTAGCTAAGCCAATCAGTAATATTGTTCACAGCTTACAGTCAAAATTTGAGCCTTTGAAACCACGTGTATCCATAATTATGTATGTTTGAAAGTTATTTTAACGAGTAGATATTAAGAGACTTTTAATTTGGAATAATAATAGTTTCAATGACGTGATGTGAATACAGTAGGCTCGATCATCTTGTCTCATATCGTATATGCACAGCTGCGATGGAAGATGTATTGGTGTCAGATACTTTATCAACAAGACCCCAAATTTCAGACAGAAGATAAGCTTGTGAAGGAAATAAATAAAGCATTAAATTTCTTGTTTTGGGTCTATTTGAAGGAATCATACTATTTTCGTACAGTTTTAGAAGTTCTGAAGACTATAAACATATATGTAGAGTCCAAATCAACCCCCAAATATGCCGCATCTGTTCTTTTAAAAAAAATATTATTAAACAGACATCTTCACAGCTAAGTAGACCTACATATATTTTTGTTTTAAACTGAATTGCCTTGGGCAACATAAATTTTCCAAGTTAAAATATATAATGCGACAATTACAGTTTTTTCGAACAGTTTTCAACCCAACATGACGTTTACCTTTTAAAGTGCAACACGATCATGTAACAATATAGAAATTTTCATTTAATTCAATATTTTGAGGTTTTTGATTCCCAACAGTAGAATTGAACTACGCAAAGTTTGCTTGCTAAAGTGAAACACGTTAGAAATACAGTATGCATGATGGAATGACTAAATAACTTTAAGAACACCTACCTCCTCCATTTTTATAACACACGTAGGGAAAGCGCCACACATTCCCTAATCCAACAGCATAACTCAAACACGAAAGTATGAAATCTAGTTTATGGGACCAACTCTGACGTTCTATGCCATCCTCCTGTGGCTGTTCACACTGCTGTTCACAATCATCCTCATGTTTTTCAACTAGTTTTGGATAAATGGCTCCATTATTCTTATCATCCATCATTTTTGTCTACCTCGCATCAACACCTGAAAAATTTATACATGAAATAAAATATATAAGTATTAGAACAGAATTCAAAGATAGCTTTCCAAGCAAGGTAATATACACACACTGGCAGCTTTGATTTTGAATAAAAATATTTGGCAGCACAGTAACTATCACCAGTAAGAAATGTTCAACCTTCAGTCACATTCTTCTTTGGATCTATTTGGGGTGATACAGAACAGTTTCACCAAGTTTCGTCAAAATCTGTCAATAGGAAATATCAAACTGTATGTTATAAAATTACAACCACTCTCTTGTGCTTACTTTTGATTGTTGAGATAAAATTACGAAAGGAAAATCAAAACATAACAGTACCAGTACATATTATATTTTATCACACAATAGTTCTGTTCTCAGATTCATAACATGGGTGCATTAAAACGTTATGAACTCATAGAACAGGTTAATAACTATTCAAATTAGGTCATGTACCCATAAGCTGTGTAAACAAACAATATGCCATCCTTTGAAATTAACAACTCTGTTAAAATGGAAGGAAAGGGCATGGAATTGCTCCAAATGACATAACTTTGACTACAGTAATCAAGATCCAAGATCTTTTTTGTTACACGCTAAGACATTTTGTAGAATGGAAACATTAAAACCTACTAACTCATTTCATAAATTTCAAATGACATAAGCACACACGTTCATATAATATACAAAGACAAATAATCAGAAATATAACATTTAATGAGATGTTTTATTAAAGATGGAATACAGTGGAGCCTCGTTTATGATCGACAGGTTTATGGGGACTGTACAGAAGGAATATTAAAATAGAACAGTGTACAATATAATATTTAATAAAAACCAATGACATATGACAGGAGATCTCAATGAGATAGCAGATTTCTATCACTTCTAGTTTAAATTACATATAAAACATGAGACAGTAACATATGCTCCTCAATAATATATTGTATTAAATAAATATCACAGCGACATTTATTTGTTATTTAATTGAAAATGACGCAATATCCACCATGTTTTACATCACTGAGTTATAAACTTTATACACCGTAGGCATAGCAATGTTTTTGAAAGGGAATTTTACCATTATCACCCAAAAAATAATATACCGTCAGCAGTTTTTGCTCAAATTTTACTCAGCCGACTACCAAAAATAGATTTAATTAGTTGGCTGCAGGCGATGAATGTGTGATATTCTTAATTTAAAGTATTATTACTTTATTTTAATTTTTCAGGCTAGGCCTATGCGCTATCATCATTCGCCCATAAGGTGCAGAAGAGTAAAACTTATAAAACCTCATTCAATCATTTCATTTGATTTTTTCAGTTTATGCAGGTTGCATCGCATGAAGTAGCCTTTTCCACTATTCTAGTAGAATTTCCCTCATTGTCACAGCATGGTGTTACCTAGCCTCATTCATGTGAAATAAAGAAATAGGGAGCGAATACAATACTGACAATGAATACAACTTTATGTAATATAGGGAATGAGGTCAAAGTCCTACCATATTATGTAAATAATTATTAACAACATGTATGTAAGTCAGTGTGTTGACAGGTAATTTCATTGTATTAAATGTTAGAATTGTTAGAATCTGACTAGAGGTCCAAAAATTCAGATCCATCAGTCGATTCTAGATTTAAAGATTTTTCCAGTCAAGTTATATTATGTTTGAATGAGTCTCTTATATTTCTGAGGCCTTTTAAAGGGTTAGGTGCGCCATTTTGGTGGATTGATTTTATTCTTGAATATATGTAAATAGGCTTCAGAAGTACTAGAAATATACTAAAACCGCATAATTCCTTTAAAAATATTTCAAACTAGGAATTTTACTCACTATTTCTTTATGTGTCTTTTCTATATATCACAGAGTATCAGTATAATTCTGGACACACATGGATTTAAAGACTCAAATATATCGACGTGAGCTGTGGTCACCTTTACTGATTGGTTCAGCTAAAAAAAACATCCCAGTTCTTATACTAAAGTATGATTGGCCAAAAAAAATGATGCCTCTGTCCCTTTAAGGTTCTGTAGCAGTAGGATAGAGTGTCATTTGCTTCAGTACCGGTACGTCAAACAATAGACTGTTTTAATGTCAGTCGATGTTGGCATGTGAAATTCTGATGACCTTGAATAAGCCATCTTCACTAAAAATTCCAAATATGGGTAAGGATAGTCTGGGAAAGTTCCACTGCAAGAGGTTTAACCAAGGATCAGCTGGTAGAAAGGATCCTTTGTGTTAAGGCAAGAAGACCCTTCTTCAAGCCTGGTTTTTTAGTCGTCTGAATGTGACCAGTTAAACTTAAGCCCCCTTAACTTGCACCTACTAAGCAATCATGTCTCTAGAAAGAAATTATTAATGTCATAATGCACATGTGCGTAATTATATTGTGACATATAACTTTGGTTTGGAGGTAATATCAAAGCCGGCATACAATCCATAAATCAGGCCTGACCCTGAACAAATAAGGTGAAATAAACTTATCAATGACTTTAATTAAGCTTATGTAATATAAGGATCTGTTCCAAGATATAATAAATCAAGAATGTCAAGGTTACCAGGTGTGACCTGTCTTTATCTTAGTGAACATTGATCAAAACAATAACAACAATAAAACTTGAACTAACTAGATTAGTACCGGCAAGTAGGACAAGTAGGACGTTAAAAGGGAGACTCGGAATAAATGACATTTTGTGTCTAGTCCTAATCGTGCCGATATCCCATCTTTATGTCACGTATAAGGAAAGAATAAGGCAAGATGCCCTCAGAAAGCATGTGATAAAAAACTTTGGATTTCACAAGACCGTGTTGCTCTTTCTATTTATTACCCAATTTCAAAAGCGCACTCAAATTTCAATAAAAGTTTATTTAAGTCAAATTTAACATTTCCTTGTAGGCCAACAAAAACATACATTTGGTTAAAGATTAAGAAAAAAATCCAATTTATCTTCACCACTTATATAACTTTCAAAACTTTTACTAGCGAAATATATCACTTATACATCTATCTCAGAAGAGAATGTGTCTCTTTACTATGTAGAACTAGAGCATGTTTCTGTACTAAGCTTATAGTACTCTTAATCTAGTCTGGTTCTTCTCCATGACAAGAACTAGACTTTACATTCTGTTAAATTGCTATATTTAACAATGCATTAAAAAACAAAATGATGCAATCTACCGTCTAGCTGATTTATGGGCTGAGAAAAAATTGTTGGCTGATAACATAATGGCTTTCTGTCTCCTGTTGAAGTCAGTTTTTTGAATTGAAGTTATAAAAATGTAAAAATGTAGAACAATCCATTCATTTTTGTTGTAAGTAACAATGTATCTTGGTATTCAGTGGTTGCATCCTGACACCAGACAGATTTTCAAATGAACTGTTCTTGGCTTCAGAATTTTACCTTGAGGAATCAACCCACAGCACTTAATCATCTGGCAGAGGGCTTGAATTCAACTCGCTACCAACTGAGCTATTTCACTATTCTAGCATAGGACAATCCAACTCGCTACCAACTGTCCCAGCAGACCACACTCCAACTAGCTTACCAACTGAACTATTCCACTGCCACTGATTGATGTTAGTGATATAACAAATCAATCAGATTTCTAAAATCAAAGTACTGGTACTACATCAAAAAAATACGGCCTACTAGTATTTTGACAACCCAGACACCAGAATGTTTGTGTGCTCTACATGTATAAGATTCATTTTCTTACAGTACATAAACTGCTAAACTCATTATTTCCCAAAGCAAGTAAAAGTACACACACATACAATAGTCTATAAAGCATGATGCAATCTTGGCATCTATTGTCAATTGTCTTAGAACTAGGATGTCCTAGGGTCTTTACTTCTAACACTGTTGCTAAGGTATCCTAGCATCAAGATCAATTTGAGAATACAATGACCCATCTTATATAAGCTTACCTACTTTGTCTTGATGTCTGACAGAAGCTTGTAATTCTCAGACATAATAGCTTCCCTGTCAATCAAAAAAAAAGTCAAGTCAACAGCCCTGTTTCCAAGGATAGTGAAGATGACACAGGACAGAACATTTTTCAGACATTCTGTCATTATGATTCATTGCATCATTCCAAGAAATCTTGACATATTTTCATGATTCATGCCATGGATTCCATTCCATAGATGAAGTCATGAAGAATTTAGAAATCCTTTCTGTCTGATGCCAAAATTAAACCTTATAAAATAAGACAACACTCTTTCTTTCTAGTCTAATTTTGTGTGTTTTTAACTGCCGTCACACCTGAAATTGACCCCGATTCTGTTATGAACTAGGTCATTGGGTCAAATCTGGCACCACCAAACACTGAAAAGTTATAAACGGGGACTGTCTTCCATCGTTTAATATATTATACCCCATTCCACACATGTATGATCTTCTAACCCAAGTAAAATTTCAACACAGAATTAAGTTTCTTTCGAAAATATTTTACCATTTACTAGTCGCGGAATTATAATTTGTACAGAGGAGTAAAACGGTATCAAATTACATACCAACGTGCCACACGTTTTGTTTCGGATCTTTACAAAACCATTCTAAACGCTAAATTCTGAATGGAAACTACGATGGGACATTGAAATTGTTAATTGAATGAATAAATTAGCCACTTACCTTTACAAATATGTCAGTTTTCGGGTAAAAATCGTGGAAAATGTGGAAAAACCGCTAGCAGACAGACTATAACGGTAAAGCTATGAATGAGTTGTAACAAATTTCGGATCGCACGAGCGGTGGTATAGTAGAAAAAGAAACGAAAAGATTGGTTGATTTATGAATCAAGTTAGTCACGTGGGGAATATAGATATCGTTAATAAACAAAATAATATAGATGGTTTATACATGTTTATTTGTCGTAATCTAAACACAATATCAATCCAATCTAATACATGCTGTCTTAATTGCGTGGGTATATCATACACAGTATGCTTAGTAAACTCACAGTGTGACTGAATGC